GAGAGCGAGAGAGAAGAGAGAAGAGAGAGGAGAGAGAGAGAGAGAGAGGAGAGAGAGAGGAGAGAGAGAGAGAGAGAGAGAGAGAGAGAGAGAGGAGAGAGAGAAGAGAGGAGAGAAGATAGAGAGGAGAAGAGAAGGAGAGAGAGAGAGAAGATATAGGCAGATCCCAATTTGAATTCTGATTCCCAGCTTTCCCACTGAGGATGGTCGACAGCGCTCGACGACAGGTTTTTGACCCGAGGCCAATTTGGGAAGCAGAAAAATCGTAGGGTGCGTTTTTATCCGAAAGTCGCCGACTATAATAGTTTCACCAGCCACACGAAAAAAGACTTCCACTGCCGGGACACTGTCTTTAGAAAAAATATTATGAAAAAAAACTTAAAACCACGCACACTGACACAGACGGTGATTTTTCTGTTGGTAAAACTGGCTTCAACACAGTAACCAGTAACCACCTACCTTTTGATTATCTGACGCCAGTATTTCTGCAGTGGTGAAGCGTAGTTGATTTCCAACAAACTACAGTTCGTTACATTGCACTATTTTCACCACTTTCACCCCTTTTTACCACTTTCACACACCACGTGAAAACGCACCCACAAAGCAACACGTGTAATTCCGCGTACACTACGTTCCACGGCGTCAGTTGAGATTACTCTAGAACTTGGCAGGTTGCCAGCGAGTCTTCGCCCGGGGCTGGGGTTCGACATGGGCCAGCGGTCGGGCCTGTGTCATAAATGTCCGCTACCTAACGCCTATATCATAGACGAAATTTCTACGCCACAGGTGGATAAGAAGATGTTAGTGCATTGTCTGTATTCAAATAGCGTTTCAGTGTTTTTTTTTCATTTATGCTTGCCGAATGCTATGTATGACTACGAGTACGCTGACCTCCAAAGTGTTTTTACCGGAAATGCTGTAATTAGCATTCATACCACAAAAACCTTCAACCATCCGGTCTTTATTGAAACCTGTAATATTGAAACAACAACATTTATAATATGGAATTGAACAAAAAGCGAATTCTAGCCGCAATTGGCAAAGCCACCACTGTGACGCGGAGGCAGCCGCTGCCAAGTCGCTAGATCCTGGGAATTTCGCGCGAAAATGAGCGGCCTCGCAAGGATACCCGCCAAAGTCGCCAGATCTGGGGAGTTTCGCGCGAAAAATCAGCGGGAACATTGAGGCGTTTCGCAAACTGGCGTCACCAGCGGTTGCGCGCGCGCGCGCGTTGTTACAATGTCACCAACAGTACCAACTGTGAAAATGGCCTCGGCACTTGCACCCCGCGGCGTAAATAATATTGCGACAAATCATACTACCAGACCGCGGCCGGCCGGCACTGGCGACGCGCCGAAAAATCAAACGGCTGCGCGCGCCAACGTCAGCGCGCATGCGCGGCCGATCAACAACGCACACGATACGCGGGGTTACCCTCAACGGGTCACCGGTAGATAGATCGAAAGAGAGAGAGAGAGTGAGAGAGAGAGAGAGCGAGACAGAGCGAGATACAGAGAATCTGGGCGGTTGATTGTATTATGTACAGAGTGGCTGGCGGCGCCCTGCCTGAGAAGCTGTCTCGCCTGGCGGAGCCAGCGCCGCCCGGCGGGCGACACGCGTAGTAAAACTTCGCTAGCCGCTCACGAGATGGCAGCAGCAGCAGCGGTAGCGACCGGCAGAAGGTAATAATATACAGGTACGCACATACAGCTCACTATAATATACGTATGTATCACCCAATCAAATTAACGATAGAAACGGTGGCGCTCGCGCCGGCGCATCCAGTAATTACAAACTTCACAATCACACGCGAGATGGCACTGGCATCGGCGCCGGCCGCCCGGTACCACCAATACGAATCGCAGAGAGATAGAGAGAGAGGCGAGATTTCTACATTGATAACTCGAGCCCTCCACACCCAGCGCACCACCACATGGAGAACATCGTGTTCGCCACTCGTCGACCATCTCTCACTCACACTCGCGCATTTTCACGAATCTGTTAACGACCAAGCACATCACTGAATGTGAATGTAAGGACCGCGCAACACTGAAAAGGCAGGCGGGCTCAGGGGGACCGGGGGGAGGGGGGAGCACACTGCTAGATCCGGCTGGCTGGTCAGGGGAGTGGGGGAGTGGGGAGGGGACGGGGGAGGGCGGGACGGGAGCTTGTCCGCTCCGGGGCTCACTGGGCCGACCGGAGTGACACCTGGTGGCCGCGCGCCAAACCGAGGTGAGTGCAGTCGCCGCCAGGGCGGCGCCACGTGTCACAACTCACTGAAACGGGAGACGGCGGCTGTCAGGACAGATCCTCGGGAGTATTCATGTCAAATTACGGTTGATAAGTAACTCTGATCAACACAGTCGATGTCCCACTATTTGACAAGCAATACAGCGATAACACCTACAGAAAATAACAAGCACTTACTCTTCCAGAGATTCCCAAAGCAAATCTTTGACGCCTGTATCTCTGAATGCTAAGTGCTCACTTGTTCGTGTCTACCCGACACCTCAGAACAATATAACTTCTCTACCCCTACCACTGCAAGACCACTCCGACCCGGACCCACCCACTCCCCTTCAATCATAAAGTCGGCAGTGCCCCCCCCCCCCTTAATTGAAGGTGTTCCGCCGCTACTGCCTTCAATATCTTCCTCCCTTCCTGCGTCTCACATCGCCACACCACATCCCATCCCTCCCCCACCCTCCCCCCGTCCTACCTTCGCGGGTGGCGCGTCATTCACGAGTGGTTGTTGGCGGGCGCCGTCTCCCTGCCTGCCGGCGACTGCGGGCTGGCGTCCCGACGAGGCGGCATCCTCTCGTTCATCGCGTCCAGACCCTTAGCCTCCTCGAAGGAGGCGATCTTGTGGTTGGGTGAGAAGCCTTGTAGGGCGCTGCGGAGGGTGACTTTTCCTCCGGAGAGAGCGCCCAGAGGCAGGGCGCCGGTCGGCGTGAGGCCCTTCAGCTGGAGCACCGACTCGTTCTCCTCTCTGAGGGGGGGGGGAGAGGGAGGGAGGTCAGCAGGAAAATGAAGGACAGAAGCGCTAGGGTGTGAGGGAGAAGGGCAGTAAAGGCCATAGTGTCACATCGACAGCAGTGGAAAACGCCAATGGTGGACGATATTTATAGGACTGTTCAACATTACATTATGCTAAGCCCATTAACAACAACAAAAAGATACAGGATATGCTCCGTAGAGCTTGTTATAAAAGTATGTATTATATTGTCAATAATCATAAGTCGTATACATTTTTAAAATTGGTATATGAAAAGTAACGTAAAACATATTATGCAGCTACTGTCTTCCCCAATACATGCAAAAAATAGAAAATATTCAACCACTTCAGTTTCTACAAAGCCAAGCAAAAGTAATTTCCTTCCAAAAAATCACTAGATTTATAACAATACGAATTACACCACAACTCAAAGCGATCGTAAATAGCCGTAGATACTGCGCTCCAGCGTTTATGGCGCGGGCCTGACCTGAGCACGGAGAAGACGCGCGCCATTTTGCCGATGGCGCGAATCTTGTTGCGGATCACCTCCTTTCTCAGTGCGGCTGCTCGCTCTGGAGGCCAGAGCACGAGTTAGCCGGCGCGACGGGCAACGGGGGAAACACAGGGTAACGCAGGGAAACACGGGGTAACGCAGGGAAACACGGGGTAACGCAGGGAAACACGGGGTAACGCAGGGAAACACGGGGTAACACGGGGAGGGACAGGGGAATACAGGGATAGAGGAGTACAGGCCCGAGCACGGTAAGCCGGCGTGACGGACAACGGGGGGAAACACGGGGTAACGCAGGGAAACACAGGGAAACACGGGGAGAGACAGGGAAGAAAGAGGCAATACAGGGGACACAGGACAATAGGCCGGAGCAGGAGCTAGCCGGCGTGACGGACAACGGGGGGAAACACGGGGTAACGCAGGGAAACACAGGGAAACACGGGGAGGGACAGGGGAATACAGGGACAGAGGAGTAGAGGCCAGAGCAAGAGTTAGCCGGCGTGACGGATAACGGGTAAACACGGGGTAACATGGGGAAACACGGAGGGAGAAATTGGGATATAAGGAGGAAACGTGGGAAACCCTGAGAAAAGACAGAGCAAGAGTAAGCCGGTGCGAGGAACTTCGGGGGAAAAGGGAAACACCGAAAACATGGATTTAATACGGGAAACATGAGCATTTAGGAAGAACATGGAAACAGAGAGGAAATATGTTACCACAAAAATTAGGCATATTATACGTGATAAGACAAACACACGGTAGCCACTGCCAGCATGAAGGAAACAAGGGAGACAAAGAATTCAAATGTAAGCCACAGCACAAAGTTGTCAACGTGGGGAATCCGGCACAGCGGTAACCACTACCCACTGAATATGAGAATAGGATTTACGGTGGCATTGACTGGGCGGTCGCTTACGACCAGAAAATGAGTAGTTCTATGTGATGAATACGAAAACCATGGTCGAGGAAAGGATACAGGGCAAAGTGGCAGGGGCGTCGCCACGGATTTTTGAGTGGGGGGTCGGGTTTCTAGTCTTCACCCGATGGGTAGGGGTGTTTTTTTTTTGCCACACTTCCCAGTTTTGTGCGTGCGTATGTATGTGTGCGCGTGTAACAAATCGGCGCGCAGCGCCGCGAAATTTGGTATAACCTATTAGGTAGGTATACCTACCTACATCACTTGCATAAAAATTATCACTGGTCACTTAAGGTCAGGTCGCCATGTCAAGTTCAGTTATACGGTATACCTCTATCAAACTTTCTCCTCTCGCCATTCTTGTAGCTTTTCTCCCATAACTTCGAAATTTGGTACACTGTATACCTAATGTAAGGGGTTATAGGTACGTGTCAGCAATTCATGATTCTGAGGATTTACATCGATCATGGAGGCAGGTCAAATACGTGACCTCATCATTAGAAAATAATGAGAAATTAGAAAAAGCACGAATGCCTCCTGCTTTGAAAAAGTTCGTCAGAAACGCAAAATATCTTTGGGGCCATGACAAATCAGCTCATCATTGCCAGGGACAGGATGCAACTTATGGCGAGTGATGACTCGAAAGGTCATTAGTGGAAATGTCCATCGATGGCCACCAGCATTTTTTTTTTCTACAACTTTTGACGAAGACGCGGTAGAGCGATGACAGCACCTGGAAAGTGTTCACTGTTCAGCTCAACAACACGGATCCATTCATATGCAGCAGGAGGTCCTTTTTCGATCAGGACATAACGTTGACCTGAGGTCGTTTTAACGTTAATTCTGAATGGTCAAATTTTAACTCATGTGACGCGTCTCAAAGAGATAAACACGGTGGAGACAAGACAACATATGTAAATACCATACAAATTCACGGAATCTTAAGTTATTGCAAAGCAAGTGTTTCGGCAGAATCTGTCCAGTTAGCTGTTAGCCTTCTATGGGCAAAACATAGACCTGAGTTGAAATCTGACGCGAAGCTAGCGAAAGAGCGTTGAAAAAGCTATCGAATATGCTTTCTGCTTCACTGTAGCCCTTCTATTGGTGGGTTCCCAGTCGCTAACGTATAACGTATACTAAAGTAACGCTGAGGTATGCTTTCGACCCCTGATCGATCTAGAGGTTTGCGGAAAAAAAAGAGCATGCTGCCCGTGACGAGAGAAAGCCAATGATACCCATTACAAGGTTTCGGGTCATCTCAGGACTCAGGTCATCGCCAATAAGTAGGGAAACTCGGGAATAGAACTTTGTGAATGTAAGTTGTGATGGTTTTTCGAGGCTCTGATTACGAATGTTATCTTAGTTTTGAACGAAGATGATGACTCCATGCATTTGGGGTAGATCAGGTCAGGTCAGATCGACCGGTCGATAGATCGACCGACCGACTATTATAATAGTGGATGACCACCACCGATTGCTTCCTAACATGTTATATGTATAAGCAACACAACTACTTCTCAAATGTTCAGATGGGCGCCAAGTTCAAAATCAACTCCAAAAACTATCCTATACCTAAATTAAAAGCATGTTATAAAAAAGTGAACCGAGGTCATCTTTATTTGAATCAGGGACATCGATTTATTTTTAAGTAGGTGATTAACTCGAGCGCACCGGAAGTTTCGTTGCAATCGGCTCCTTTTTGCGCGACTTCTTTGCAAAAGCCCGAGAGGGTTTCATCTGACTCCCTTTCCCCTACATGTGCACTGGACAGCTAGTTGTGACGGTAGCCATGGGGCTGAGGCTAGTTTGTAGTTTTGTAGTTAGGTACTGATCCGACGAATCGACTGCGACCATTTTTTTAAACGATCAGACGAACGCTCGGGGCAGTTTTGGCGCGTCCAATCCTTTGAGAGATAAAAAGGTACTATTATAGAATGGTGGCTACTTAAAAGTATTGTTGTGCTGGTGTTCCCCGCCCACAGCTAATTGACCTTTAGGTAATTGGCTAATTGGCTTTAGGGAGCTCTTGAAGCGATTCTGAATCTGATGTATTTGTTGGTGTTGCTGACGCCTGCTTCACTGACATAAAAGCTAAAAAAGCACACTCAGCATCGCAAAAAGTGGGGGGGGTCGACACCCCCAGTTTTCAAGAGTGGGGGGGTCACGACCCCCCCGACCCCCCCGTCGGCGACGCCCCTGCAAAGTGGCAATGAGCAGGGCTCAACAATGACTGGGGGAAGGGATAAACAATGTGTTTGGCCATACATCGAGGTGGGACTACAAATCTAGAGGTAACTCAAAATTAACTGTAAGAAATACAATCTACTATTATAAATCTTAAAAAGTCCGCCGCCCACGCCGCCGTCGGGGTTACTCCCAAAAAGGCTTATTGAGGCGCCGTCAATTGACGCACGAGGGTGAAATTTTCACGACTCGTGGGTCACGTAATAAAACAGGTCGTATTAAATTTTGGGCACGATGCGGCCGGGGGTGCGCCCGTGGCGCGTGCTCATGTGCGCCATAGGGTTAGCATTAGAATCGGCAAAAACAGGCCATTGCTCGGGAACGGTGAGGGCTACGGGGGTGAACTTTTCACGCCAAGTCGAGCGCGTGCACTCATTTGTCGTATTAAATTTTCGACGGTGTGGGTTCAGCGGTGTGCACGTGGTGGGGCCGCGACCGGCGCCGAGCAGAGGGCACGTGCTTTAGGCTCAGTTGTTCGCTTAAAAACTGAGTCAAAAGCATCGGAGCCGGCAGGTCATTGACCTTTGACAACGAAGGCCGACACAAGGCACCGCTCGCCAAGGGGATTCGCCAGTAAATACAATTAATTTGTTTTTGAGATATCTCAGCCGTTTCTGGGCCGATTTAGCTGAAACTTGGACTGTCGGTGGCAGTGTAGGGTAGGGTAGGGTAGGGTAGGGTAGGGCAGTGTAGGGGTAGGGGTAGGGTAGGGTAGGGGTATGGTAGGGTATGGTAGGTTAGGGTAGTGAAGGGGTAGGGGTAGGGGTAGGGGTAGGAGTAGGGGTATGGTAGGGTAGGGCAGGGTAGGGTAGGGTAGGGGTAGGGTAGGTTAGGGTAGTGTAGGGGTAGGGTAGGGTAGGTTAGTGTATAGGAGTAGGGTAGGGTAGGGTAGGGTAAGGTAGGGTAGTGTTGGGGTAGGGTAGGGTAGGGTAGGGTAGTAGGGTAGGGTATGGTAGGGTAGGGTAGTAGGGTAGGGTAGGATAAGGTAGGGTAGGGTAGGGTAGGGTAGGGTAGTAGGATAGGGTAGGGTAGGGTAGTGTAGGGTAGGGTAGGGTAGGATAGGATAGGGTAGGGGTAGGGTTGAGTTCAAAAAGGGCCCAACATACAAAACACTTGAACACCCCGCAACTATCACCATCCCTTACAGTTCAATTAAAAACAGCTACCCAAATCTACCCAAATAATACAGCTAAAAATACAAGTCAATCACCCAAAACTGATGCACCCGTAACATAACATAAATCAAAACATACAGTTATCGCGTAAATCTGTACCTCTAGTAATTTTTAAATGTCGAGGAGAGGTCATTTTTTCATATATTTTCTCTCTCTAATATTCATAATGTTCCTCGCAAGAGCGCTCCAAAGAATAAGTTAGTCCAAATACTATTTGAGGAGGGTGCGTCTGTCCGTTACCGAGGTCCCGACTTGGTGGTGCTTTGCGTGGACTACAGGCCAGACCGTTGCACCTAGCCCGGTGAAATTTGCACAACTCATAGATCAAGGATGCGTGACGTGCGTTTGAGGGGTCTGGGCTCGATCGGATTGGTAGGGAGCGCGTGGCGCGTGCTCAAAAAGTGCAAATTTGCGTCATAGACTTTACATGTATAAATTGGCGTGCGAAATCGGGCGAAAACGGCTAATTTTGGCCGACACGGGTCCGGTCCCCGTGCAATATCTTGGTGACCAGGGGTCCGACCGGCACGGGGAAAACAGCATCGTGTAGATAATTGAATGGGCAATGGAATCGTGTGCGATACAGAGGATAGTACGCGCCACGTGCACCGGGGAGGGCACTTTTGTTGAAAAATTGCGGTTTTGGGCGGATTTTGGAATTGATTTTATTTTTAGGTGACCGTTAAACAGGGCGAGTTGGAACAACGCCTGTTGGCAAGAGAAATG